TTTATTAAAATAATATAATTTTAAATATTTTTTATGTAATTTTTTTAAGTATGATTAAAAAACACTAATCTTTTATCTAAATTGAATCAAAATGATATAATTTGTAATTTTAATTCCTAAATTAAAAGGAGAAAAGCAAATTTCAATATTAATAAGTTATATTCATTTTTTTATCTTTTTTCCAGCAACGAGTTAACTAACCAAAATTCCAATCCTAAACCCATCCATAAACAATTGGAATTGCTAATGTTGGAAGATCAAGATAAATTAGTGGGAATGTAATCAACAGGGAAGTGAGAATGAGATCTACAATGAGACATTGAACCTGAAAAGCCCTCATATTTAATTGGTTAAAATCCCATTTTGATATTTTACCAAATCCTTTTTAGTCCCGTCATCATTAATCCCCTTTTATACTAAATTTTTATTTATATTATAATTAATATAGATGGACGTAGCACCGAGTCCTTCGGGCCAAGTGACAATAGCCACCTGTGATGCATTCTCCTCTCTCTCAGGGCTGAGGTTCGAACCCAGCCCCTTGTAAAATCAGTTCAAAAAAAAATATATAAATGGATGTAGCACTGAGCTCTTCGGGCCAAGTGACAATAGCCACCCATGGTGCATTCTTCTCTCTCTCAGGGTTGAGGTTCAAACCGAGCCCCTTGTAAAATCCGTTCAAAAAAATATATATAAATGGATGTAATATGATCCTTACACTTTTGTACGGAGGCCATCTTAGGCTCCAAATTATAACAAAATTGAGTTTAATATGACTTAAATATAATCATTTATTTGTATCATATAACACGAAAATATTATTTAAAATTTTTATAATTTATGGTGCAAATAATTATATTTTGTTTAGTTTCTTATTTCTTTTCCAAATTTTGATTTAGTATTTATGAATGTGATTAAGTTCTTCATTTAGTTGCTCCTTCAAAACTCAACAGAATAAATTGTTTTTATCCATGACTTTTGTAATGAAATAACAGGAATATCAAGGAAAACCGTAAGATACATCAAATATGGATTCGGTTTCCCTCCTCAAAATAGATTTAAAAAAATGGATTCCAGAAAAAAGTGTTGCATGAAAGTTCTTCATTGAGAGCATTTATAAAAAAAAAAAAAATATTATATTTCAATTAATATTTCTAAAAATTAGATTGAATGATTTTTTAATATAGATTATGCATGATATTTTTATATTAATTTAGTAGGTTTATCTAAAAGTTGACATGTATGTTTTTAGTTCAACAATTGTTTCTTAAAAGTATTAATTATAATAAAATATACTTTGATATTATGTTTAGTTTGAAGTGAGAAAGGGAAGAAAAAGAATGAGTTTTTAATCAATCAAATTATAATGTTTATAAATATTGTAATTTAATTAGTCTAAAAATCCATCTCTCTTATCCATTTCATGCAAACCAAATATATTATTAGGTAAGCACTTCAATCACCTCTTATTAATTATTATTAGTGGTCCATGCCTCACTCATTACACGAAAAAATTTGTTTTAAATTTATATTCATTGATTTTTTTTCCATTTTTTGTTCTTTAATGATTTGAGCAATTGGAACTTAGTAGGAGAAAAATTTTATAACATCGCTTTAATTAAATTATAGTTCTGCAAAAAGGGAATAAATTTATTATAAAAGTTAAATGCCCTATTCATTTTTCTGTAGGCATAAGCTTACCCTTCTTCTCTTGGTTTGCAGCCCGACTTCGGGCTTGGGGAGCTCTTGGATAGTAGTTGATGGTGTTTGGCTATTTGTAGCATAAGGTTCCTAAGAAAGTAAAGTAATTTGAGAATTCCTTCTTATGCCTCAAAGAAAAGAAAAGAGATAAAAAAAGAAAAAAGAAAAAAACAATCATATGAATCTACATTTATGTGTATGAATTTTGGAAGTAGCATACGTTTTAAGCCATATTAAGAAATGACAACATAGACATTAAATTCAAATAATTTAATGAGTTAAGTTTATAATGATAAAATAATTTAAAAAATAACAAACCTAACACTAAATAAGTATCTGAATTACAAATGATGCGTTCAATGCTGGTGACTTCACATAGATATTAGAGCATTTATTTGTCAATCACAGCTTAAATTAAGAATATTGTATATCAAAAAAAATTTTCAACCATCGAATCATGTTATAAACTAAGATTTGACTAGATTTGCATGTTATCACCCACACCAAATCAAAATCCATAAGTAAAAGATATTATGGCAAAATTATAGGATATTGTGTCCTATTAAAATAAAATAAATTATGACATACAGTCAAATAAAATGATAACATGTATCTTCTTTAAATTAAATATAATCGAAACACATAACAAAATCATACGGCCTTATTAAAATATGCTATAATATCCCTTTAAAGATGCCTCTTACCCTTACCTACAAATAGAGGCATTCACCATGAAGAGAAGACCACAACTCTGGAAAGAAGCACCAGCACTGTGTTGTGATTGCATCTCAAATCTCATGGAAGCTTTTAAACTTTCAAGTTCTTCTTAAACTTTTCTCTCATTGAGCTCAAACTTCAATTAAGCCCTCGTTGAGATTTACATCAATTAATAGATCAAATAAAAAGATTACTTTAAATTCTTAGTTTACTTGGAGGTTGTACTCACAAATTTTATATTAATATAAGTATTCTTTTTATACAATTTTTCTTGTTCGTCTAATTTTCAAGAATATAGTTATTAACCACAAATTTCTGGCACACTTAATGGAATATCTTTGCTTCTCATCTCTTTTCGATAAAGAAAGTCATAGATTTAGACACCATGTTTGCAAAGAACACTTTGGTCACTTATGATCTAAAGGCTACTAAGAAAGGCATTACTATCGCTAATAATAGCAACACCTTTTTATGTTACAACACTCATAACAAAGTTAAGGTTATTAGTGCATCATCCTTTTAGTCAGTTATATCATACACACCATGGAAGGAAGAAAGTCATTATAAGTTGTGTTGACCACCTGCTTTTGGCGGTTGAGCATTTTGTGAACAAGAGTGGTTCTCCACATGCTATTTCTGATTTTGAGTAGGGCACCAATTCTTAGTCCGGATGCATCCCAAATTCTCCAAAGGGATAATACTCACCAAGCTTGTTAGGGACAATTTTCATGCTTGCATTCATGACATAGGTTGACACTATCAAGGAAATGATTGTTGGTTTGGTTTAGGTTATCAACAAACTAACTCAAACCCTCAAAGCCAAAGATTTGCTCATCATTAACCTCACAAGCAAGCTTGAAGCTTTGAATGTGGGCAGGTTAAGCAACAATCAATTTCAACATCCCCACAATGTTTTTCAAAATGAATAGTTCCCAATCATCACTACAACCTAAGTAACACCACAAAATATAATGACAGTGCCTATTTGTCCATTATCAGTGCAATAACTATATGATATAGTTAATAATGTTATTTAAGCCTAGTAAGATGCCATTTCAAAGTCTTTGCTAAAATACTCCAAGCCATATACCAAGTAGATCAACAACTTGGCGATGCTTGTAGGTTATCAACCACCTAAGTTCAAGTAGTTCAACGGTGAGGGTCATTCAAGGTAGCACATTGCTCACTTTGTTGACCCTTACAACAATGAAGGAATGAGGGAGATCTCCTTACCAAGCAATTTGTGTGTATACTTGAGGGAAATGCATTTGAGTGGTACACTAATTTAGACCCAAATCAATAAACAAATAGGAGCAAATGGAGTGCAAATTCTTGAATCAATTCTATAATACTCAAAGGACGATGAATATGATGGAATTAACAAACACCAAGTAGTGGAAGGATGAGCCTGTAGTTAACTACATCAACTGTTGGCATGCACCTAGGCTCAATTATAAGAATAATTCAATGGAAATTTCGACAGTAGAGATGTGCATCCAAGATATACGTTAAGGGCTTTTATACATCCTACAAGGTATCAAGCCTTGTAACTTCTAGGAATTGGTGACTCGCATACATTACATGAAAATCAAATTTAGTAATTATGTAGGGAAAAATTTACCAATTCCCAATCAAGGTAAAGAAAAGGTAGTTAGAAAGTTTGAAGAGGCTATGAAGAGTTCTTCCAAAGGACTAATAAAGGAAGCTATGGCTGTTACCTCTGTTAAGTTTATTCAAGTTGAAAGGCCTAGGAATAACAAAGGGTCAAATTTCTCTAAAGACCAAAACGTCATCCATGCTTGCAAGAGATGAAGAACAAGACTTATCCATTTCTAGATTCTAACATTGCAAAAATGTTAGATAACTTGTTAGAAAAGAAGATAATTGAATTACTTGAGTGTAAGCATTTAGAGGGAATTGAGCATACTTATGATCTAAAATATTGCATATATCATTATATTATCAGTCATCTAATAGAAAAGTGTTTTGTTTTAAAAGATTTAATCATGAGACATGTTTAGAAAGGGAAGATTTAACTTGATCTTGAAAAGTCTACTAACTCAAACCTTGTCACCATAATAAGTCAACATCCGTTGCCATTAGTGAAGTTGCCATTAGTGAAGTGATATCAACTAATAATTTACACTTCTCATAAGTTATTATTAATAGCTATGTAGTTTGGATCATTTGATCCAACGCTTCTATCAACTCTCATGCCAAAGTTAAGTGAGATCTTTAGTGGAGAAAGTGCCCTAAAAGAAATTGATGATGAAGGATGGATATTGGTGACTCGTAAGGGCAAAGAGAGCGATGCAGGTGGAAAACTTATGTTGTTCAAACTAAAAAAGTGGCTCAAAATAAGAAACTAAGGGTAAGTATGAAATCAAAATTCATTCTATATTGCCTCATAAAAGATCATGGCAAACTTTTCATATTTTAATCAATTTACTAGATTTCTTTCCATAAGGAGATTTTAATGAACACTTAGTTGTCTTAATTCTTGCCACTTTAGAAGGTAAAAGATCTAATCATAATGAATCTAATAGCATTGAGGTGTACCAAGTGAAAGAATACCATGTTAAAAAAAGTCTATAAAGGCTTTGAAGGGTTCATTTCAACTCAATATCCTACAAGTCACCAAACTTGGTAATGTGATGTGAGATGCTTTGGTTTAAGTCCTTAACAAGCTTGGAAAATATGTCATTAAGGAAAATGAAGTCGACAAAATTTAAAGCTGGCTCCTTTAATTGTGCCACATGTTGTGTAGCTATCATTTTCTCTTATGAAAATTATAATTAAGCTCAAAGTCACACAATAGACCTCTTTTTGTCTTTGGTTACATGGAAGACTAAAGAGTGAATTATATCTTGATACATGATGGGTCTATAGTCAATATTTTATTAAAAGCAATCATGAAGAAATTAGGCTATCTATGGAAAGACTATAAAATAGTTAAATCACTATTCAAGACTTTAACCAAAGTAGGCAAAAAACCATTGGAATGATCTACCTAAAGTTGACAATTGATAAGTTGAAATCAAGCATGCTATTCCATGTCATTGATGTCGAGACTCCATACAATTTATTACTAGGGTACCCCTAGATTCACGCAAATAGTGTAATGCCATCTATCTTGCACTACTGTTTCAAATACTATAAGAATAGAGTGAAAGAAGTTAAGGTAAATACTAAACCTTTTACAAAACTTTACTTCAAGTAAAAAAAAATTGTAGAAATCCTTCTAATGAAAATTCCATTTATCGTTGTGTTTTGAAAGCCGACTCGGAGATCAAACCATTTTGACCTCCATTTATAACACACCTCTTTAGGCTCTTTTAGTCCTAGAAGACTTCGGAAATAAGATTTATAATAAAGAATTGCAGCAGAAGTAAAAACAATTATAATATAAAATATTTCTTTAAAAGAAAACTTGTATTACGAAAATCAATTTACATTTTGAAAAGAGAAGATTATAGATAGCTATAAGGGAAAATCACTTTAACAAAAACAAAATATCAATATATGTATATTGGAAAAATACCAAAATATTCAAAGTTATAAAAGAAGCTTACCTAAGCTCATTTATAATTAATATAAATATTTTATACATAAAAGTAATTTACACAAAAATTATATAAGGCAATTTCTTCTCCAAAGCTTTTCAAAAGAACAAAAGCTAAGTTATTGTTTTGGTAACACATTGATTTGCCTTCCTATCAAAAAAACACGAGGCCCTAGCTTGTACATACAACGAGCATGCGAGTCTCGTGCCAAAAGCTCCTAAATCGAGAGGCCGCTACCTTGATCTACTGATCTGAAATTGGGGGGGGGGGAATTTTATGAGCTAAAAGCCCAGTAAGTAATAAGTTTAAGCTATAAACTTGGGTTCTAAAACCCTTAGACCTATACATATAAAGGGCATGAGATACAACATAACCAAACCACGTACAATTATAATTTTCAATATTTAAATAATAAATTAATATCTCAAATCGTAATCACACATGTCAAGGAATAATCAATGACATTTAAATTAAATTTATATACTAAAATCATATGCTCACAAATACGATATCATAAGCGCAATGCATAAAACTGAAAATCACACAATGCTATGGAGTCCACTAACGTGTGCTAGCAACAATGTATCGAAACTAATCATTGTACTAACCCTACTGCGCAGAAGTCCACTGAATACCCCGAAAGATCCACTGAATACGCCGAAGGGTCCACTTAATACCCCAAGCTTTAAGCTTAGGTCCATTTACTCCATAGCCATAAACACATACGCATGTCAAATAAATTCAGAATATGTCCAAAATAATATTAGAACTTCCTATTGAAAGAGATTAAAGCATAGTGCGTGAACAGTGATGTATGAACAATAATCACGATCAGTAAACATGAACGGTAATTTGTGAACAGTACACATGAACAGTAATTTGTGAACAATACACATGAACAGTACAATTTACTTATAATTCTGACAAGTAAAAATATACACCAAAATCCAACATAAAAAGGAATAACTCATTGTCTTTCCCATATAAGCCCCAAAATTAAAGATATTTCTAATCAAATTTTAATACCCAAAAATCTTATAAACCAAAGGATTAGGGTCAAATCTCACCAATTGAAACTACCCAAAACTCTAACTCCAAATTCATAACTAAAACTTATATTTACCTAAAAAAAGCACCTTAACCTTGGCTGGAGAAAGAAGGAAGAAAGATGCAAGTGGAAGAGGAAGGTGCAAGACAAAAAAATGGGGGCTTTTGGGAGCCTTCTAGAGGCTTATCCAAGTCCCACCGACAAGGAAACAAAACTTGGTTGGGACAATGCCATGTGGTAAGCAAAATTGGGATAATTAAGTTAGGGCAATTCAACTCCTACTAAGTTTTACTTAAAACCGCCAAACGTTAAATTCAATCAATTTAATCCCTAAAACTATTAACTAAAGGACACTAATTTTTAAATTATTTACTAAAATATGTGGGATGTTACATCCTCCCCACCTTAAAAGGATTTGGCCCACCAAATCATTTAGCTTACCAAAATAGATTTGGATGCTACCCTCTCATTTGACTTTCAAGCTCCCATGTAGCCTCATTCTCATTATGATGCTACCACAACACTTTCACCAAAGGCACAGTCTTGTTCCTCAAAACTTTTTCTTTCCTATCCAAAATCTATACTAGCTGTTTGGTGTAACTCAAATCTTCCTTCAACTCTAATGGTTCATAGTTTATGACATGTGAAGGATTCGGCTCATATGTCCTCAAAACTGACACATGAAATACATTATGCACATTTGACAATTCTGAAGGCAATGCAATTCTATAAACCACTTCACCTACCCTTTCAAGAATCTCAAACAAGCCAATGTACCTCGGACTGAGTTTTCCTTTCAAGCCAAACTGATACACTCCTTTAGTTGGTGACACCTTCAAAAATACATGATCTCCAACTTCAAATTTCAGAGGTCTCCTTCTATTATCTGCATAACTCTTTTGTCTGTCTTGAGCCACTTTAAGCTTCTGTTGAATTAATTTCACCTTTTCTGTTGTTTTCTGCACAAAATCAGGCCCCATTACCCTTCCATAACCAACTTCTGCCCAACAAATTGGAGTTTTATATCTCCTACCATAAAGAGCCTTATAAGGTGCCATTTTGATACTAGAATGATAACTGTTATTATAAGCAAACTCCACCAATGGGAGATGATCATCCCAACTTTCAGGCAAGTCTAATGCACAAGCTCTCAACATGTCTTCGAGCACTTGAATAGTCCTCTTAGATTACCCATCAGTTTGTGGGTGGTATGCTGTGCTTAATTTCAATTGAGTTCCCATGACTTTTTGAAAAGATCTCTAAAATTTTGCAGTAAACCTTGGATCTCTGTCTGATACAATGCTCACTAGGACTTCATGGAGTCTAACAATCTCCTGAACATAAAGCTTGGCCAACTTATCTAATGGGTATTTTTGTTTAATAGCCATAAAGTGAGCTGACTTTGTCAATCTATCCATAATCACCCAAATTGCATCAAATTGCCTTCTCGTCTTTGGCAATCCCACAATGAAGTCCATTGAGATGGCTTCTCACTTCCACTCTGGTATAGGCAAAGGTTGAAGTTGCCCTCTTGGCTTTTAGTGCTATGCTTTTACCACTTAACAAGTCAAGCACTTAGATACATATTTAGCCATATACTTCTTCATGCTTTTCCACCAGAATGTTTCTTTCAAGTCATGATACATTTTGGTACTCCCAAGATGAATGGTATAATTGGACTTGTGTGCTTCTTGGAGCAATTCTATCCTCAACCCTTCATCATATGGAACACAAATTCTATCTCCAAGTCTTATGATTCCATCATCCGAAATATGAAGACCCATTTTGGAGCTTTTTCCACTATCCTTCATCCACTCCATCAATCTTGAATCTTTCTGTTATGCTTCCTTGATCTTTGACAACAGTGTAGGTTGAACCATCAAACTAGACACTAGTACATCAGACTTTGATGGCATAAACCTGACATTCAAATCCTTGAATTCTTCTAAGAGTTTCCACTCCATCACCATTAAGCTTGCTAAGGTGCTAGTTGATTTTTTGTTAAGTGCATCTGCAACCACATTTCCCTTTCCAAGTTGATAGACAATTTTACATCTATAGTCATTCAGACACTCCATCCATCTTCTTTGTCTCAAGTTAAGCTCTTTTTGTGAAAATAAATATTTCAAGCTTTGGTGATCAATGTGCATCTCAAACTCTTCTCCATACAAATAGTGCCTCCACAACTTAAGTGCAAAAGTTATGGCAGCAAATTCTAAATCATGTGTAGGGTAATTCCTCTCATGTGTCTTGAGCTGTCTGGACCCATAAGCTATCACCTATCCATGTTGCATAAGTATACAACCCAAGCCTTTATGAGAAGCATCGGTATATACCGCAAAGTTTCCTTCATTGTCGGGAATAGTAAGAATTGGTGCTGTGACCAATCTGTTCTTCAACTCTTGAAATCTTTGCTCACATTTATCTGTCCATTCAAACTTTTGATTCTTATGAGTAAGTTGTGTTAACGGGCTTGAAATCTTTGAATATCCCTCTATAAACCTTCTATAATATCCTGCTAGTCCAAGAAAACTCCGCACTTCGGTGACACTAGTCAGCCTTTCCCACTTCACAACTACTTCCGCTTTACTAGGATCAACTGATATGCCATCTTTCAAGACAATATGATCCAAAAAGCTAATCTAATTTAGCCAAAACTCACATTTATCAAACTTGGCATACAACTTCTTTTCTCACAAAATCTATAATATAATGGCAAAATGCTCCTTGTAGCTCTTTTTATCAAGAGAAAACATAAGAAAGTCATCAATGAGGACAATGACAAATTTATCTAAGTATAGCTGACAGATCCTATTCATAAGATCCATAAAAGCTGCAGAGGCATTAGTTAGACCAAACGGCATTACTAGGAACTCGTAGTGCCCATATCTGCTCCTAAAAGCAGTCTTCATCACATACTCGGGTTTAACCTTTAGCTAATAATAACCCGATCTAAGATCAATTTTGGAAAAGACACGAGCCCCTTATAACTGATCAAACAAATCATCAATCCTTGGCAAAGGATATTTGTTCTTGACGGTGACTTGATTCAACTGTCTATAGTCAATGCACAATCTAAGTGAGCCATCTTTCTTTTTCACAAAAAGAACCAGAACACCCAAAGGAGAAGTACTGAGTCTAATGAACCTTTTATCAAGAAGCTCTTGCAACTGCTTTTTCAATTCAATTAATTCTCCTGGGGCCATTCTATAAGGTCGTTGGGATATTGGTGCAGTATCAAGCACAAGGTCTATAGTAAATTCAATCTCCCTATCTGAAGGTAACCTAGGCAACTCCTTGGGAAAAACATCAAGGAAGTCTTTCACTACCTGAATTCCTTCTACAGACACCGGCTTGTCTTTAGACTAAAAAACATATGCCAAATATTCATAACATTCATGCTGCAACATTTTATTAGCTTGCATGCAAGAAACAAGTAATAGAAATGATCCAACTTTTTCTCCTTCAAACTTCAAACCGAATCATAGGCTGGTTAGTAGCAAAAATAGTAACCACTTTCTCATAACAATCAACCATGGCATAATGGGTAAACAACCAATCCATACCAAGTATGACATAAAATACCATTATTCTTAACAAAATCAGATCGGCAAGCAAAACTATACCCTCTACCACAACTCTACAAGATCTATAGATGGTTTTTGATGTTAAAACCTCCTTAGAATGAGTATTCACCATAAGCACACAATTAAGGGTCTTAAGCTCCACATGCAAAAATGACACATACTTAGGTGACACAAATGAGTGGGTAGATCCAGAGTCAATCAACACATGGGCATTCTCAAAAGAGATAGGTATTTCACCTTTTATAACTATAGGAGTATTTTGAGCTTCTTGTTCTGTGATGGCAAAAACTCTTCCTTGAACCCTTGGCTTCTTATTATCTTTATCCTTTGGCTGTTGACTTGCTCCTTTGAGAACTGGGCAATCCTTGATCAAGTGGCCAGTCTTCCCACACTTGAAACATGCCTTAGTCTACCGATAACATTCTTTTCCCCCATGGTTCTTACCGCACCTCTTACAAAAATCAAAACTTGGCTTGTTGCTTTTGGGGATCTTCCTTTTTCCCCTTTGTTCAGGCTTCTTGTTGAAAGGCTGGTTGTTGATAGCCTTTCCCTTGCCTTTTGAGTCATGAGTCTCCATTTTTTGCTCCTTCATATCTTGCTCAATTATTTGAGCCGTGGCTAAGACCTTATCATAAGTCTTTAGCATTTGAGGAACCACCTTTTTCCTAATGGGAGCTTTCAACCCTCTTTGAAACTTCCTTGCCTTCCTAACTTCATCATTAACAAGGTGAGGAGCAAACTTCATAAGAGAACTGAATTTAGCTTGATACTCATCAACTGTCATGTCATCTTGCTTCAAATTCATGAACTCTCGTTCCTTTCTTTCCAACACAGCTTCAGAAAAATATTTTCGATAGAAGGCCTGAACAAACTTGTCCTATGTAACCTCCTCCCCTCTCTTAGAGAACCCATCTTAAGTAGCTATCCACCAATCATCAGCTTCACCTTCTAACGTGAACACTGCCAGCTCCACTTTTTGCCTGTTAGTACATTTCAGGAGCTTGAACATCTTTTCTAATTTCTTAACCCAAGACTTAGCCACATCGGGATCAGGAACTCCATTGAAGTTGGGCAAGTTCATGTTCTGAAATTGCTTCACCAATGTCAACTGCTCATTTCCGTCCCTAGAGTCCACTGTTTGTTGTAAATTGCCACCAGTGTTTTGTGGGGCATTATTGTTGTTCTCATGTCGCAGATAATCCCTAAAGAACTCATATCCATAATGGCCTTTGCATTATGTCCATTCGGGCATTCACATCATCAACAGGAGGAAGAGTAGAAGTAATGTCTCCCTGACTCATCTTTTTCCTCTGGTACTGATACAAACAAAGAAATAGCACAACTAATGGTTAGGTAAAAATCTAATCCTATGACACTAGACTCTAACTCACATGGTAGATTAATGTATTAGCAAAACCTTAGCTCTGATACCAAAAATATAACACACCTCCCTAGGCACTTTTAGTCCTAGAAGAGTTCGGAAATAAGATTTATAATAAAGAATTGCAGTGGAAGTAAAAACACTTTTGATATAAAATGTTTCTTCAAAAGAAAGCCTGTATTCCGAAAATCAATTTACATTTTGAAAAGAGAAGATTATAGATACCTATAAAGGAAAATCATTTTAACAAAAAAATATCAATATATGTATATCAAAAAAATACCAAAATATTCAAAGTTATAAAATAAGCTGAGCTAAGCTCATTTATAATTAATATAAAGATTTTATACATAAAGGTAATTTACACAAAAATTATATAAGGCAATTTCTTCTCCAAAGCTTGTCAAAAGAATAAAAGCTGAGTCATTGTTTTGGTAACACATTGATCTGCCTTCCTATCAAAAAACATGAGGCCCTAACTTGTACATACAACGAGTATGTGAGTCTCGTGCCAAAAGCTCTTAAACCAAAAGGCTGCTACCTCGATCTACTGATCTGAAATGGGGGGCGGGGAATTTTATAAGCTAAAAACCCAATAAGTAATAAGTTTAAGCTATAAACTTGGGTCTTAAGATCCCTAGACCTATACACATAAAGGGCACGAGATACAACAGAACCAAACCACGTAACATTATAATTTTCAGTATTTAAATAATGTAATATCCCAAAATTTTGTGATATTTTAGCACTTGGTTAAGGACTTGATTGTGAGGAAATATTGTTTTAGGGCTTAATAATCAAAATTTCAAAGTTCAAGGACTTAAAAGAGAAAAGGATTTGGATAGGGATCCACTATTTTTTCCTTCTTTCTTCTTCCTCACCCGCGCGTCTGCTCTTCTTTTCTTCTCCCCTTGCACCGAACAACAAGAAGCCCAGCCCCGACGCACCTCCCTTTGACAAACCGGTGAGAAGCTTGGATATTTCTCCTTCTTTTCTTGTTTTAGGACAGAAATTGAACCCAGAATTCTCCCCCCCTCTGCAGAATTTTCAGATCTGCTCTGCTCTGCTCTGTCCTTCCGTCGGCTGCTCCTGCTTCGTGGGGGCGAATTGCTCGGGTTTCTGGTAAGAAGCAGCCTGAAATTCCTCTGTTCTCACTTGATTTGGCTTGGGTTTACTCTAAATCCTCTTGGTTCTCCCAATTTTTCAGTAGATCCTTGATTTTTCCCCTGCACTGCCGCCGGCCTTCCCCCAACTGCAGCTCCGGTTTTTGCTGCTAAATTCTGGTATGTGACAGCCCTTTTAAGCCTAAAATTATCCATTAGTTGCTGAGTTTAGTCCATGAATTACTGCCCTATGTGCTGTCCGAATTTTGCAGAAAAATGGGGATGAATTTCGATAGTAATTAGACCATGAGTTAGGTTAATTCATGTAGAAAATTAGTTTATTTTGGCTGTTGTGATTTTCGGAGAAAATCTCGTGAGATTAGCTATGGTTTTGCCCATTTTTGGAAGTTGTAGTTACTGTTTATTGCGTGATTACCGATCATGGATACTGTTCACGGGGTACTGTTTATGAACTAATAGCAAACAATTAATGGGGATTAAATGTTTAGTTTGTGATATAAAAACAAATTTGTAGATGTCCAATCATAGGGAGACTAATAGAAATAGTATTGTGATTAGGGCTAGTCCTAATGATGATTTCACTTGAATTTGTGGTGGTGCGGTATTAATTTTGGAATATTTTGATTAGGTTCTTGATCATTGGTTGCCCTAGCATTGGGATTGAGTCAGTTTATACAAGTGAGGTAAGTAAATTATGGTAATGACGTTCGATTTTAAAAGTATGTTTTAACTTGTTTTTGAAGTGGTGGCGGGACTAAACCCATTTTATACAAAAATGAGCATGATTGATTTGAAATAAGATTATTATTCTTTTTATTGATTTGAGCATGCCTGCTTGGAGTTTATTTAACTGCCCTGATGATCTGGAAAGTATCTGTAAAGTATGATTTTTTGTTAAATTCTGCATGTTTTGTCTCCAATATGGTCATGTTATTCGTGTGCCCGCTAGTGGGAGGTTTATAAATGCTAGCACCCGCTAGTGGGAGGTTTATAAACGCTAGCACATGTTGACATGTTACTAATAGAACCGGTTCGTTTCTGTTATCTTGCTAGTGGAATTATACACTAGTAAATCGTGTGCTTGCTAGTGGGAGGTTTATAACACTGGCCATGACCTATAGAGGAGACGTCTATTTCATTTCCGTACTCGTACCTATTTTTTCGTAATTATACTTGTTGGCATGCTATAAGTTTAATTAAGGACTATCCATATTTACTTACTGAGTTATCTTATAGTTTTTCTTTGTCCACCATTTCAGGAAGCGAAGTCAAAGACAGGGAAAAACGAGGGGAGTGATGCGTTAGAAGGCTAGCCATCTTGTAAATTGAGCATAGATTTAGATATGAATCAAGATCTTGTAAGTTAGACCTTATTTGGAGATTTTATGATATCAGAGCAATTTTAAAATTTCATCTTCAGATTTTGTGGTATTAGATTGTGATATGATAAGTTTCGAGTCTTGTGCGTTTGTGAGACCCTCTCACAAGTGTACGGCGTCTGCCACGTCCCCGGATTTGGGTTCCGGGGTGTGACAAATAATAACTTAATATCTCAAATCGTAATCACACATTTCAAGGAATAATCAATGACATTTAAATTAAATTCATATACTAAAATCATATGCTCACAAATATGATGTCACAAGCGCAATGTATAAAACCGAAAATCACACAATGCTATAGAGTCCACTGAGGTGTGCTAGTAACATTGTATTGAAGCTAATCACAGTACTAACTCTACTGTGCAAAGGTCCACTAAATACCCCGAAGGGTCCACTGAATACCCCAAGCTTTAAACTTAAGTCCACTTACTCCATAACCACAAACACATACGCATATCAAACAAATTCAGAATATGTCCAAAATAATATTAGAACTTCGTATTGAAAGAGATTAAAGCATAGTGCGTGAACAGTGATGTATGAACAGTAATCATGATCAGTACACATGAATAGTAATTTGTGAATAGTACACATGAACAGTACAATTTACTTATAATTTCAACAAGTAAAAATTCACACCCAAATCAAACACAAAAGGGAATAACTCACTATCTTTCCCATATAAACCCCAAAATTAAAGATATTTCTCATGAAATTTTACTAACTAAAAATCTTAAAAACCAAAGGATTAGGGTCAAATCTCACCAATTGAAACTATCCAAAACTCTAACTCCAAATTCATAACTAAAACTTATACTTACCTAAAAAGAAGCACCTTAACCTTGGCTGGAGAAAGAAGGAAGAAAAATGCAGGTGGAAGAGGTGGAAGAGGGAGGTGCAGGACAAAAAAGTGGGGGCTTTTGGGAGCCTTCTGGAGGCTTATCAAAGTCCCACCGACAAGGAAAAAAAACTTGGTTGGGACAATGCCATGTGGTAAGCAAAATTGGGATAATGGAGTTAGGGCCATTCAACTTCTACTAAGTTTTACTTAAAACCCTCAAATGTTAAATTCAATCAATTTAATCCCTAAAACTATAAACTAAAGGACACTAATTTTTAAATTATTCGCTAAAATATGTGGGGTGTTACACTGGTTCCCGTTTGATCAGTTTAGTTGGTTCAATTGTTTAAATGTCGATTAATTTAAATATGAATAAATATAATATTATGCAACTATAGAGCAAAAAGTTGGTAGTGGTTCTAATAGTATGTTGCGTTGTCTAAATATAAAATTCGTATATTTTTAAGGGATAAGGAGCTCACAATATTGTAAATCTCAAAAGATGAATTGATTATCAAGACAAAGAAAAGAGATGATCAACTATAAGATTTGGGTGGTCTTTGAATAATTAAGGAGGCATCAGTTGAAAATGAATACCCTTATTATGTCCTTCTTTGGCTCAAGTCAAGGCTTCAAGCTTTTATGCTAAAACAGCTTCACAAGGTAAGCAAAAATGTAATACTTCACGTCACAATTGTATAACCAACCAAAAAAAAAAAATAAAAAATGTAACACTTTAAGCTTGTATGAGTATAAATTGTGAAAGGCATTAAAAAAAAAAAAA